AGTTATTAAAGTACTGCTTTCCACTACTGTGGTTAACACAGCAGCTTCATGTGCCGGTTACAGCGACACTAATACAGCTTAATGATTATCATGCAGTTGCACCAATGCGACTGCTTGAAATTTTAACTCGCACACTCAAAAAAAGGGCTCCAGATAGCCCTGACCTTACACCCTGTACACATCCACATCATCCAACACTACCTTTTTTTTTTTTAATTAAACATCAAATTCACATTATTGTGGCGCTGTCATTTCTTGTGAAATGACTACTTGCTATAAGTTGGCTAAAGTTTCATATGTAGGTCTGATGACAGTTGATTTCACTACTGCTGAACAAGGTCCGTCTGAGGACTAAGTCTGTGCAATGCAACTAAAAAAAAAGCAAAGTAGTCCTTGAGTTAAGATTTTTCTTTTTCTCCAACTCTCTTAAGTTTTTGTATTGAGTTTGTTTTGTTTGCATGAATGCTGTCATTCAAATTCCAGCGCTCCTTCGAAGTGAATTTTAACCACAGATGAAATGAGACACAGATCAGTCATCACATCTGTGCCTGCAGATATGTCTACTCTACACTTAACTGTATGCAGTAGTCAAAATTAAAAAGCCCAATAAAAAAAATAAAAAATAATTACAGGATTCATTTGTCTGGTGATCTTCACAAATTATTCTCCTCCTACACAGCTATCAAAGTAACCACAGCAACAAAAATGAATTCTGTTTTTTCTCACCCCCATATTTGTAATTGAAAACTTGATCTAACTGAAATGATGGTTTATGACAGGTGAGGATCAGTGGCATAATAATGCACAATCAGCTATTACTTTAACAAGCTCTTTGTGACCACATGAGTGAATGAATAAATCTTCATAACAATGTGCAACTTGTGGTCAGTTCCCAGAATAAATGTTGTGTCATGGCGCTGATAGACGACAATAATTAATCAATATGCTAATAATGTGTAAATCTGTGTGACTTAATGTTCGTAAGTCTTGGTTTGTTTGTGAAAATTTGAACATATGGCACAGGTGTTTAATGTTTTCCTTTGGTCTGAACCAATGGAGCTGCACTGCAGGTGTAAAAGCCCCTTCAAACATGGCATATTTATATCCATATGATCCTGGTCAAGCGAAAAATCAATGTTTACAGGGTAAGCATGTATTCCACCTCCACAACCGAGCGTCTAACGGAAACAAAACATCTGTCTCCATTTCCCTGTAATGTTTGAGCCTTTCTTCATCTCCTCTTATCATTTATACCTCTCTCACTCTGTCTCACTCGGTTCCGTCTGGCTCATGTTCCCTCTCTGATGTCCACTGACTCTCACTTCGTCCCCTGTCCCCTCCCCCTCGCTCTTTGTCGCCAGGTCAGTAGATCAGTTTTCAGTCTGGCTCGATGGGTGATCCCCACTTTGGTTACCTCGTCCTTCTCACCTCTCACTTACCCCCACCTCCTCACCTCCCCACCTCCTCACCCCTCGAGCATATGGCTGGCTGCGTGGCCTGAACTCGTCGTGCCTTTAATAAATACATCAGTGCGCTGGTATCATCATGACAGGGGTCATGGGTCGGTTACAGTGTGCAATGGAGAGAATGGGAGGGGGAGGAGGAGGAGAGAGAGTGCTTGTGTTTGCTTCTGGTTGACAGTGCCTTCACCTCTGTGACCTAAATGGACACCACATGTCATCATAGGATGTGTATGTGCGGACGCATTCATGTGGCAGGCAGGAGCGCGCGGACGGGTGAATGTGAGTCTATGACAGACGCTCATCATATTTAATCCTGGAGGGATTTTGTTGAAATGAAAAGCTGCTTTTCAATTTTATAATCCAGTAGACCTAATCTCTACCCGCACTCGTCCACACAGTCCAATTAGACGAACAAGGACCGGCCGGATGAGTCCGTCGCAAAACTCTCCACAGCCTGTCCTTGCTGTGTCAAAACACTGAGGTGCCCCCGTGTCGTGAGAGCCCAAGCACTGACCTTCACCAAGTGTTGCAGAACTGTGCAATGCGCAAAAAACTGCGCCGTCAACTCACCTGTTTCCACTGCAGTCTTGGCCTTGTTAACAGGGCATTGATTGGACTGAATGTGCGTGTGTGTGTGTGTTGTAGTGGGTGTGTGTGTGTGTGTATGTCTGGTTCGATTCAGCCTCTGTGGCACCATGTTCTCACCCGCCCCCACACACCCGCTGGGTCCAGAGAGAGAGAGAAAGTGCACACTACAGGAAAAGAAGTCGCACTAGTGAAAACGCTGAGTCGATTCATTCTCAGAGGTCAGTGTGGCGCATGGAAGACGCAAAGGTAGCAGCAGTGGGATGTTTAGATTTATGGCCTGGGCACGTGGCAAAGTGTGAGACTGACAGAAAGGAACAAAAGGAGTCAAAGGTAGAAGTTCAAGGAAAGGAAAGGGAGGTGCTTACTTAGATGCAGCTGCAAAAAAAAAAGAGAGTAAAAGATAAAATATTGAGGAAACTGGATCATGAATGTTGACAACCTTTGTTGCGGTTGACTGAGGATGGCAGACAGGAAAAACTGTTCTGTGGTTGACCGTATGTTGTATCTGTGTGTGTGTGTGGTGGTAGTTAAGAGGGTAGAACGAGGCCACTTTGCCCATATTGACTGCAGTGCCATGTGACCGCTGTGATCATTAATGTGTCCTGATGCCAACGGGTATCCTGATGACCCACATCTCAGCAGTCCACTCTCACTCTCTGGCTGGCACCCAAACCAGACCTCTCTCTCACTCACCCTCTCTCCCTGCCTCTCCCCCACTCGGGAGCACGTACTCTAACCTTCTTCCCTACACTTTCTCCATTAGAGCTTGATATCGAACTTTCCTGCCACTGACCGAAATGTGTCCATGGAGAAGTTAGTGCGGAATGTCTGGCTGAACCTTGTTTTCTCCTTCATTAACTCCATATTTACTCATTTAAATAGACTATCTCACTCTTTTACTCTTCCCCCCTCTTCTAATGTTTTTATTTTTTGTATTTTTTCATTCCCACTGATACAGATTTCCTTCCCTTCTCAGTGAACAGTTTCATTTCCAAAAAAGGCTCCAAAACCATTAACTGAGCTGTCTTGTCTCCTTGTTGCCTCTCTGATGCAATCTTTCACTTCGTCCATGACGCCCAGCTTTTTTTTTCTTCTCTACTTGGAGTTACCCTAGTTGGTCTGATGATGTGCTGACTGTAGATGAACAGTTTTTAATGTTTGCACTGACCCAGTAAAGTAGCTTTGAAATTCAAAAGTTCTTCCAACCCCCCCCCCATCTCGTTTACTCCATCTTTCTCCCCTCCTAACCCTCTATAATTCTCTCCCACTCCTGATCTAATGCTATTCCAATTTCTGTTGGCGTCCCAATTCCTACATTTGGCACATACAAACCACCTATTACTCCCTGAGTCTATCTCTCACTTGCACTCACTTATAAAATGCATATGCCTTCATGAAAAAAGCAGTCCCTCAAGCACAGTGACAGGCACCCACCAACACAAACCTGCTCATGTCGCCAAACTGTTCAACTTAACAAATTCTGACATGTACGCGAACGCAGTCACGCATGAGTACCCAAAGTCTTAGACAGACACACACACACACACATACACACACTGAGCTGCGCATGAAACCACGGGCGGTTGGGTATTTTGGGGGTGGGCTCAGATCGGGAGGGGGGCACACCCCACTGCAGCAGAGTAGCTAATTACCCCATACGATCAATAATTCATTACCGTGTCAGTTTCTATGTCTGCGTGACTCTATGTGCGCTGGCATGTTTGGAGTGCACGTAAGCATGAACACCGAAACTCTCCCAGTAAGCGTTTTCTTTCGCTGGGAATGGCAGATTAAGAGGATTGACTCCGTAATGGATTAACCTCTGGAGTTTGTATGCGTGCGTGTTTCTCCGTGTGCGTTGAGCAGGATCAGAGAGCCCGTGTATGAATTGATTAGCCTAAGAAGCTCCTCTCCTTCCCGTTTAATGACCACATCAGCACTTTTTCACCACGGGGAGGATAAATGTAGAACTGTCTGTCAAGGAAATGAGTCGCCACCCCTTTAAGAAGGGTTCGCTGTCACTCAAATATCACTCTTGGGAGCACTCCCCCTGGACTACGGAGACCCTGCTGTGTCAGTGTGTCTACGATGATAGATGCTGCCTGTGTCTGTGTGTTAGTGTGTGTGTGTGTGGGTAGAGGGGTGAGTGACCGTCTCTATGCAGTATTTATTTGTCAGCAGGACTTCAGCTTTTAACTGCAGCTTCCTAAGTGAATACCAAAGCCAGCGTATCCATTATCTATGCAACTGATACTGTTTATGGAATAAACATATATGCTAAATGGAAGAAAGCTAACAGTTTGACAAGGGAAACAGAAACACAAAATGACCAATTACCCTGTTGGAAGCAACCATTCGCCCACTCTTTTTGCATCTTTACTTCAACTGAACTCCTCAGGGGTTCATGCACATGGTCTCACACATACACGCACGCAGTCATGCATGTACACTGGAATGCAAATTTATATATTGTTGAGCTACAGTATGGGCTTGACTTGTGTGCCCTGCAGTGGATCTTGCTAAACGGAGGGCTACGTGGACACACACACACACACGCACGCACGCACGCACGCGCACACACACACGCACACACACACACACACACACACACTGTGACAGCAGGGTACAGTCACACTGCTCAAAGGCTTAGGATGCTGACACAGACGCACAACTGGGTGTGCATGCATGCACAGATACTGACAGCTATTTTGTGGAGATAAAATAGTGTTTAGACATTAGCGACAGGGTGTGCAGTACAGTATGTCAGGAGATGCGTGAAGAAGAAGAGATGAAGCCAAGGAGGCGGAGCAGAAGAAAGAGATCAGGAGCCACAGAGCGGACAAAGAGACAGAAAAATAGAAAGAGTCTTTTAAGACAGGTTTAAATAAAAAAAGGCAAACCAATATTAAGGAGCCTAATAACTTTCCAGCTCATTTCTCGGGCACCTACCTGTTTGCTGTACTTGTTCCCAGTCTGGCAGCCATACTCTGAGCACTGGTCAGATCCCAGGGACATGGCATCTGCATTGCCACTGCCTCCGCTGCTGCTGCTGCTGGACCCGGCACTCCCCACACACCCGCCGCTGCCCACAAAGGTGTTGGAGGGAGGCAGCTCCTGGACCGCCTGGTGCTTCTTACCTTCTGCTGGGGGGGAGTGTGGCTGTAGGTTCACTGCAGGGAGAGGTGAGCTGGATTTGTAGTGCCTGGCCAGATCTGGGCTTGATTGGTGCCTCCTGCCGCCGCCCATCCGCGGGCTGCCGGGGTCGCCGTCCACAGCGCAGTAACGGGCTGCCAGGCGCTCGCTAGCGCTGCTCAAATCCTCCTCATCGTCATCATTGGCATGGCGACGCAGCCCATTGACTGTAACAATACCGCTGTAGAGTGATCTGTCTGACTTTCCTCCACCTCCAACTGCACTGCCGCCACTTCCGTTGCGTTTGTCCCGTCGAGGTTTGCGCCCACGGTCTGATCCTCCGCCACGGCCGGCCTGTGGTTGAGCCCCAGAAGGACTAAAGAAGTCTTCCTCTGGCTCCTTCTTACCGGCCTCATAGCCATTCTTGCCCTGAGCGCCACACTGCCGTGCCGTGACTACAAGGAGAATAACTAGGATGACCGCTGCGGCTCCCGCCAGGACACCGATGGCAACACTGAGGCGCTGCTTCCCTAATGCACGTTCACTGTCTGGATCCCCTGCAATGTCCAGTGACAGTGGAGCCATCAAACTTCGGGCCACCTGGGAAGGAAGGAAGAGAGGAGAAAGATAGATAGAAAAGATGCAGAGTGAAGGAAAAAAAAGGAACAAAAAGAGACAAATCATCAATGACAAAAAAAAGGCCACAAGTACTGTAAAGGATGACACAGTGGGTATGAGCCACGGAGAAACATCAAACAGCATCTTCATCTTAATTACACTCAACACTGTGTTTTAGTGTGGGAGCTTCACCATTATTCCCAGACACATAGAGTGTCACTAAATATATAATTGCTCTTGCTTCCCAGTTGCAGCATTTCAAGTTGCGACTGCAATTCTCCACTTGTGATCTCGCATCATTTGCAGTATTACAGGAAATGCCTGAGATTATGCTGTATAAAGCTGATTAAAAGAATGAAAGGAAACTTTAGACATTGAGGTCAGGGGCAGTTAGAAGAGATGAAGTAGGAGAAGCAGTCAATAAATGTGAAAATAAAGGCAAGAGACATGCTATGACTACATCTTCATAACACAAACACATCTACTGTCTCATCAATGCACAATGTCTCTATTGTAAATGATAGTGTAGGCGTGGATTTGTTAAGGATTTGCTATCCCAATTTTTGCACAGAGAATTGGATGGATAGTCAAATAGAAGACTACTGTAAACATGTGTGCTCTATGCAATCATTTTTAGAGCCATTTTTCTATTTTGTCTCCTTTGGGTCTTGAGTTTGTTCTGTTAAGTATAATAGTTTTTTTTTGTTGCAAGGCAAATCCAGCCTAATCCATTTGGATTTTTTTTTTTGACCAATAGGTTTCTTCTGTCTGGAAATGACATAAACAAGTGACAGAGTATGGTGGGACATTGTGTTAATAAAGGTGTTAACTATTTCTATGCCTTTCTAGGTTTTTGTTTTTGCATGTTTACTGCAAATGCCAACATTGTCCATACCCTTGAATTGTCACAGACCTTTGAGTGAATGCAAGTTTTCTATATTAGTCCAAATTCCAACTGTGTTCTAAAGCCTTTTATTTCAATTGCAAGTCTTGGGTAAAACCAAAGAGCTAAGTGAGGATCTCCGATTAAAAAAACACACATAAAAAGCCATATGCAAGTGTTTTCAAGTCCAGCTAAAAAACTACAAGGACTTTCACATTGTGAAACATCTCAAAGGGCATGGTAGGAACCCAAAAAGTGACCACTGCTATGGGAAAAAACTGGTAGTCTGAGAGGCCAAAAAGAATCCAAGGATCACCACCAACGTCATCCCGATGAATGTGAGCAATCCTGGTGACAACATCTCAAGGATAGCACTCCAGCAGACACTGAACAAGGCTGATCTCCATGGACAAAGACCAATAAGGACTCCACTTCTATAAGACTGGCACACAAAAGCTTTCATAGCCTTCGTAAAAGCTCACCTGGTCATCAATTCTGTGTTTGAATGAACAAACATGGACGTAGCTCCTGCTCCAAGAACACCATTCCCCACAGTTGAATGTGGAGTTGGTAATGTAATGCTTTGGGGCTGTTTTTCAGCCAATGAGCCAGGCAACCTCTTCAAAGTAAACAGCGTCATGAGAAAAGAGAGCTACATTAAGATTCTGCAGGAAAACATCACACAGTCTGCAGAAAAACTCGGCCTTGGGCAGCATTGGACCATCCGACAAGACAATTATCTTTTAATTTGGAGTGGTCCTGCCAGAGTCCAAGACCCGAATCCCTCAGAGAATCTCTGGAGGGCCTGAAGATCAGAATGATGGCAAGGATGCATTCCAATCTAATAAACCTGAAAAATGTTGCAAAAGAAGAGTAGTCCCAGTGGAGACATGCTAAAAGCATATTAGCAAATTAGAAGAACCATTTGACTGCTGGGATAGCAAATAAAGGTTTTGCTGTTGATTGCTGGTGTATAAATGATTTTGGATATTGCGTTTTTAGTAGAAATACATATAAAAAAACATATAAGTTGCAAAAATGTATCATTGGCATCTCGAACACAATGCTTAACATCTGTTGTCCCTTGGTTATGTTATTTCCAGCCAGAAGAAACCAAGTGGTCAAATAAAAATGGGTATGAATAATTTTGGATTTAACTGTATACAGAGCTGAGGGAAACTCATACACACATCCAAACGCACACACACACATATGCTCTGAGCTTGTACACTAATAAAAGAATCATTATAAGAAAGTGGGTTATGCTGAAACACAAACACAGCCATTACTGGTTATAAAGCTTTGCTCGACAGGAGACAATGAGGCTGTGGTGTTCTGGTCTGCAGGGCCCTGCTGGTAATACGGGGTAGGGTCATGAATCTGAATATCGCTAATCAATACATAGCAACTTTGTTGGGGAAATCATTATGCAGGCGCAACACAAAATCAGACAGGGACAAGCACACTGATACATATGCGTGCACCAGTACCAGCCCACACCGAGTGTAAGCTGTCTGTTAGTGAGACAGCTCATTCTGCAGCCCGGACACCTTGTCTCTGAGCTTATACGACAATTTCTTTGGCCTGTCAAGGCTGGAAATTACAGACTCATGTAATCCCCGGTGCCTTAAGAACGGCAGGTAATAAGGCTTGCAGGAATAAACGAGACAGAGAAGTTAAATTTGAGCCCCCATGGTTTGAAATAGCCAAATAAAATAACTACAGTACAACAGCCAGTATTGCTAATACTGCAGAGAATTCTGCTCATACAACTGCACTGTGTAACTTGCTTATTACATTATCCAAGGCATATTAGGCTTACTCATATAGAGCCACATTATTCACTCTCTCCTCTTGTTACCCCCAAGCTAAGAATGAGACTGTGTTATATTTCATTGTTTCATCACCATCTATCTCTGGGTTAACTTTCATTGTTTTTCAGTGAGTTGTGTTGGTTCTATTCCATTGTTCTGCTTCAACTGCAGAGGGCCTCTCTGCCAGGCTCCGCTCTCCCATCAGCACCACTGTTCTTTTGCCTGCAGTATTCCTTTCCATTCGCATTCTGCTGGGAAACTCTGGTGTGGCGCATCCCTGCACTGTCTGTTGTATTGTGTGTGCAAAACAGAGAAAATAGCGATGCAGTGTCTTAAGCACACATAGTATGTGACAGTGCAATGGCCAAGTTTGTGTGTGGTGGGTGTCAGTGCAATCTTACGTGGCAGAAAAAAGCATCAGAAGGCGCAGGGTGTGTGGTTGGGAGTCGACTCCTATGTGAGTGTGCTTGTGAGAAGAAGAAACACCCCACAGTTGCAGCCAGTGTATTGTCAACTAAGCGCAGGCATGCATGCCGTTTGAGCACACGTGGGACAACACAAACGTCCTGCAGGATAAACGGCCAATTCTACCGCTGCATCTGAATACATCCCTCTGACGCATCCCAGAATCCCCATGGAATCTTCCATTCTGCTGCATAAGCTTTGTTCTTGCTGGACGTAACCTCGCCATCTATCTGTTCCGCTCTCCAAGGGTTCAGTTATCAGCAAGTCACTGCAGATGCTGCTGATGTGACCAAGACAAGGCGTTCTCCCCTCACCACATTGCTACTGACCCAAGCTTACAAAGCACCTGACCTTAGCTGTGGCTCAGCACATTCACAATTCACCATAACAACCGAGAGCTGTGGTTTGATGATTGTTAGCTGTTAGATTAATCTAGCTATTATATGAATGGAAGTGACTGTGAATGAAAAAAATCCGACATATTAAGATAAGAAACTTTTTTTTATCTGAGATAAAATACAAACGGTAATCACTAAAAATGGTATCATTAAAAGCCTTAATCAGCCTCACAGAACAGTGTACTTCTGATGTACCTTAAAGGTTCTCAAATGACAACCGTGTCTAAAATGCCACAGCTAAATTTCTTCTTCCTTGAGCTCAAACTCTGCAGCATATTATTACAGATAATTACCCAACATGTGGTTCACCCAGTACTGTTGGATAGAAAAGACTGGAGTAATTTTCTGCCGCGGTGCTGCAGCAGTAGCAGCCGTTTTCGTTCCCTAATTGCATCTGGCATCCATCCACCACTCAGTTTGACTTCATTATGAGATGGAGGTATTCTCTCTTCAATGACTTCTACTCAATTACTCCGCCAAGTTCCTCCCAACAATCAAACTAAACTATGCATATTGTAATCAAAGACGGCTTTTATACCAGCTTGGACATATTACACCCTATTGTTTGATACAATAGCCCCGGCCATTTAGGCACATTGCAGTTTACGCTACCTGTCAACACTATTGTTTCATCACTTACAAAGAGTTCTGTTCGAATCCTCACCTCCTTGATTTTTCAATTAGCATTTTTCAGTTCTGCATTCATGAGGTGTTCTGCTCACTGGCTAGTGGTCAAATCCGACACTGTCTACCTGTGCTCAGCTGTTTGGCTTTGTTCAGAAACGGTTCTACAAAAACAAGGCATTTTTGGATGCCAACTTGTCTCCGCATGAGGTGAGTCAAAACTCTCAGGCTGTGATTATACAGGATGTTTCTTTTTCCTGCTAAAACACAACATTTAGCTTTAAGTGTCGTTCATAACAAGGGTACAGATTACTCAGAGGGCACAAAAAGCACAATGTTACTGCAGTTGCTATGCGACTGTCTGGAGTAGCTATACTAATATAGCTGAAAATGAGAAAATAGCTTAAGTTTACATTACCCACTTGGAAATACTCTACGTTTCCCAAGTGCCTCTATTTTATCCTCTTCCAACCCAGGGAGGCAACACAAAAAGACAACATGCATAGTTGGCAGTACGGTTTGAGAGAGGGGCATCTGAGGTATGTCCTTAGAAAACAGTCTTTTTGTAAGTGTACAAAAAATAACCTTATCAAGGTATAAAAGAATGTCATTTGTGAGTTTCTACTTTTTTTCTGGACATGTGTGCTTCTCATTTGTCTATCTTAGGGCTGTTTTAGGGTTAAGCTTTACACATCATGTTACATGCTCAGACCTGACAACTAGAGACCATCTCCTCTGAGAAAATATGCAAATGTGTTCCAAACCAAGTTTCAAGTAACGAGTTGAAACCACAAGCTGTTAGTCTCAGAACAAACATTGCAACCGCAAGGCCACTGAGCTGATTTAATTACTAGTCAATACAAATTACGTTCTTCACACCAGAGATTAAGTTTTAGTAATTATTACGAGGCCGCATTTACAGCTTAACTGAACATTTTTAAAGCATAATGGAGGGTTCATTTGATTAATGGGGGGGGGGGGGGCAGAGAAGAAAGAAAGATTTCCACCAGCATAGCATAAGCTAAATTTGAACTCATACTGTTATAGTTATTTCTGGTATCTCAGTAATGTCTTTGAGTCGAGTCAATTACCTCTGCAGCTCAGCGTGAATCTTTCAAGCCAACTCTAATCTTGCTGTGACGTCCTCTGTTCCAGAAGACCACACAGATTTATTCAATAATAGCAGATGCATTAGTACACATATATTCACATTTCGCTCCCCACACCCCCCCCCCCCAACACCGTAAACATTATTCATTCAGAGTGGTTTTAAGTTGCCTTCCCCAAAGTCTGGCCACTTCTGCTCTGCGCAGAATGTGCTGCATAACACAATGCAAACTCCTGAACCTCATCAATATTCAGGCCTGTAGTGAAGAGACACTGCTGAAGTACAACTTCTATTCAAATGTTCAAACATACTTCAACCTGCTCTGTACTGCAAGGCCAAAACTGGGACAGGCCCATCTTTCGCTCTCTCTTTCTCTGTCTCTCTAACACTCTTACCCCTAATGCTCTCTCTGTCTCTCTCTCTCTCTCTCTCTCACACACACACCTAATGCTCTCAGCTCTGAGTTCAATGTACCATAAAAGCAGAACCACTTCAGTAATAACAGTTATTTTAACCACATAGTCATTATAACAATGCATGCTGGACAAAGAACACACTCCAGTAGGATCCAAGCTACAAAGAAGCTGGCATTGCCAATAGTCTTCAAACAGGAAACGGGGTTCTTTATCTGGGACAAATATAGACACAATTATTTTCCCCAAAAATGGTCAGAAAATTGCAACACCATGCCGGCTGTAGAAATTGCGCATTTATCTCATTCTATCAAGAAAATAATCTTTTTTTACCCGTTTAGTTTAAACTGCTACAATCAGTCATTACCACCCTCCTCCACCCTGTAATGTCTTATCATGGGGGCCATTATTTGAATAGATCACAGGACAGTATCATCATTGTCATTATTGGTTATCATTACCAACAGTTTGGAACAATAGAGGCCTGCACACGCCAAAATGGGACAGAGGGTCTCATTACGGCTTCTACTTAAGATTGTTTTCGGTTACATGACATGCATGTTAATGAACAATAGTGTCAGCTCAAATCAGTTAGAAAAACATGTTTATATATTACCTGTGCATCCACCAGTGTGGCATTAGCCAAACTCTCATTAATGAAGACGTGAACCAGCGCGGTGGCACAGAGTGAGGGGATGCCACTGTCATTGACTCGGACTACCAGGCGATGCAGACCCCTGTGGCGCCGCTCCAGAGGCTCTGCCAGGGTGATCACTCCATTGGTGTGGCCGATCTCAAACAGTCTGAAAGGATTTCCCCCCACCAGGGCGTAGTGAAGGTCGGCATTTGGGCCTGTGTCTGAGTCTATGGCTGTTACAGTCCTGACGATGGTGCGGGCGCTGCTGGCAGGCGGCAGAAGGGTGTAGGACTCGTTGGCTGGAGAAGTGATTGAGGGGGCGTTGTCATTTTCATCCGTCACAAAAAGCGACACGGTGGCGGTGGCAGTTTTGCGGGGTTCCCCTCCGTCCACAGCCCGGACACGGAAGGTGTAGGTGGAAAGCTTCTCACGGTCGAACGACGCGGATGAGAAGATAGTTCCAGTGTTGTTCTCAATGGAGAAAACCTCTTCTCGCTCTTTTTCGCCATCTTCTCTCTCTGTCTTCTCTCCTGTTTTCTTCTCGTCAGCTCCATCCATCTCCACAAACAGACTAAGTTCTGCATTCTCACCCTCGTCGGCGTCCGTCACGGTCACCATGCCAACGGGGCTGTTGGCGAGCAGGTTCTCCTTGACGTAGAAAGTAAAGATTTCCTGAACAAACTTTGGTGCGTTGTCATTGCGATCAGTCACCTGGACAACAACAGTCGCCGAGCCCTGCAAAGACGGGGTGCCCTTGTCTTTTGCAATGACCCGTAGTTCATATCTCTCTCGCTGCTCACGGTCCAGAACCCCAGTGGCACGGATATCTCCATTGTCTGCGTCTATGTAAAATGGCCCGTTTGCAGCAGAGTCCAGAGAGTATGCTATTTCTGCATTCTTGCCACTGTCTGCATCCGTAGCTACAACAGTGACCACCCTTTCGCCAGGTGAGTTGTTCTCAGCGAAGTGGACCTCCACAACACTCTGGGCAAAGGTTGGGGCATGGTCATTGATGTCTACCACTCGCACCATCAGTGAGCTGTTACTGGACAGACTGGGGCTGCCAGAGTCTACTGCCACAATTGTTACACTGTATTCTTTTGTGGCCTCATAGTCCAGCAAGGCAGAAGTATGCAAGAAGAATTTTTTCTTGTTCCTGTGAAAACAATTGAGAAAAAATAATGATTGCAGTGACTATCATACTTAGAAGTATGAAAGATCTGAAGCCAAATGGTGTCAAAAGAACTAATAGCGATGCTCCTGGTAAATTAGCTGACAGATCAGTCACCAGGTGTTTGCTGACTTAATGTTTCTTTGTATGTAGTCACTGTGTTGGTCTTTTATGGGAAGTGGTCCATTATATGAAAGAAATCACTCCTTTTAAATTCACAAAGCCCAAAGTGGCAATCTCAAATGTCTTGTGTTGTTCAAAAAAAACAACCCAAAGCCTAACCACGTATAGTAAAACTAGTAGATTATAGTAATTTGAATCCAAAAAAGCAGCAAATGCTCACGTTTGAAAAGCAAGGAACAGAGAATGATGCATGTTGCTGCGTGAAAATTGAATGAAATGATTAATCGACTGTCAAAACGGCAAGGCAATTGCTTTTCTGTTAAACAATTGCTGGATTAATCAACTAATCATTTCAGCTCTATGTTATAGTTTAAAACACATTTGATTTTAAGAGGTCTTCCTGCACGACTGCAGCTATCCGCAGAGGGACAATAACATTGAAGAAACTGTGACTGTGACATTTTAATCAAATCAGCTTATTGATTTGGTGAAAACCTCTTATGATTATTGCTTTGACATATTTCTTTCATCACGGGCAGCCCTACAACAAACGTAAGAAGCAGCCTCATTGTACAGATGTCATATGTAATAGCAGTAATATCCAGAGAAGGCCTCGTTGATTTTCCACACTCCTTCCATTCAACAGCTTCAGGAGGTGTTCTTACAACTGAGTGAATGGCACTGACATATACAGGCCGCACTGCTGCAATAATATTATTACAAAGTACAAAACCCTTGACTTTAATGAATATTCATGCTCAAAAGTTTACAGCTCGTCAGACAGTCTAAATACTCCGTAGTCTTCATGAACGAGTGGCACCGCTTGAACCGAGCTTAAATGAAACTGAGTCACTTTTCTCTGAATTCTCTGCGGAGAAACAGGAATGCTTGAAATAGCTAAATGGCATCTTCTTGCTGAATGTGTAGCTGCTCAAGATGAGAAGACACTTTTGATTTTGCAGTATGTATGTCTCATCCATACTGTTTATCTGTGACTAATGTTCACACTGTACAGAACTGTATATACAGTACGTGTCTGGAGAGACACCAGGGGATGAGTCACAATATGTATTCAAATTAATGCATAGTTTACAGATAGTTCCTGAATAATTGGGCATCAGTTCCTGTATACACTGGTTGATCATTCTAGGTTACTTAAGAAACAGACTGCTCAGTGGAATGTTAATGAATCAGTTTATGGTAATTAAAACTATTTTCTAAACGAATAATGAGCTTTTTGTAAGTTATTTATTGTTTGTGACTTTGCATCAGGCGTTTAATGGCACACATCCAAATACTTTTTTGCTTAATATTGGTTAGTTAATGTTTTGTCCCCCCTCAGGTTAGGTGGTGCGTCACACTGAACGTTATTTGAAATGCATCATTACTTTGTAATTACCTAACAGTACTTACTGTTTTGTGTGCTCTCAAGAAACACCCTGCACCCTCCCACGACAAGTAGATTATTAGATAAAGGTTCATTGCTATAGTATCTAACAGTGTGTGCCCAAGTAACTTATGATCTATTATTTCTGGATTGAGAGTTGTTCAGGGATCACTTACTGAACAGCAGTGATGTCTACACTCCTTCTAACTCCTCTGGGTTTGGTGTAACTTACTCTGAATGGTTACAGTTGGTTTGCCTTACCTATCAAAGGCTTCGTCAGCAGGCAGGGGTGGGAGTGCAGTTTCACCAGCTGGCTTCAGTGTGAATGGGACGTCTCCTACAACTGTGCAAGTCACAGCCCCGTTCTCTCCCTGGTCTCGGTCTGACACCTGAACCAGAGCTACCGGCGTGTCCACCAGAACGTTCTCTGGCACTAAAGCCGCTCCATCTCGAACAGGAATCCTTCCGATCTTTCGGATCTCCACGACTGGGACGTTGTCGTTTTCATCCCGGACAGCCAAAACCACCGTGGTTCTGTCACTGCGGGGAGGCTGACCTCTGTCTCTGGCCGTCACTGTGAACCTCAGCTGAGCAACTTCTTCTCTATCGATTCTGTGGAGAACGCTCAGCCACCCGGTTGCCTCATCCAGCCGCAGGAGCCGCCTGACAGATTCGGTGGCAGCTCCAAAGACGTACTCCACCTGCCCGTTGACCCCAATGTCACGGTCTGAGGCTCTGACCTGGAGGACAGGTGTACCTGGGGGGGCGTTTTCTGCCATTTCTGCCTCGTAGGTCGACCTCTCAAACTGTGGGCTGTTGTCATTCACATCAGTGATGGAAACCCGAAGTAGAGCTTGGGAGGAGCGCGGTGGGTTCCCTCCATCTCGAACCCTGAGGACAAGCTCATAGGAGTCTTTTAGCTCACGATCCAACGTGCCTTTCACGATAAGCTGTGGTTGCTTTTCACCATCTGGTATGTCTGCCACTTGCAGTTCAAACACACTGCTCCTGGCTCCAACCCCACTATCTCCACTTCTTCCCCTCCGGTCCCCCAGTCCATCGACTCTAGTGATGGGGTTTCCTCCTGTTGTGCGCCTTGTTGAACTTGACCCAGTCCCACCATCTTGGATGAGCTCGTACCTGTCTATGCCATTCCTCCCAAAATCCCTGTCTGTGGCTGTGGGCAGCAAGTAGAGTGTTCCTATTGGACGATTCTCCTCCACTGAGAGCTGGAGCACAGGTGAGGGGAAGGAAGGTGTGTTGTCGTTGATGTCTGTGATGACAACGCGGCCTTCGAACAAGTCCACCCAGCTCTGCAGTGGCCCGATCACTGACACCTCAAAGTCCAAGAAGCACTCGTTCTCATCAAATATCATCTGGCATTGTGGGAGCTTCTCCCTGTCGATGCGTCGCGGGCCCGTCGTCAGCTCACCTGTCACGTTGTCAATCTTGAAGTACTCGGAGCCGCTCTCCAGGGCGAAGGTGACGTCCCCGCTGCCGGTGCCCGCCGTCAGGCCCAGGTCGGCGGCGACGTTGCCGATCTTTACGTCAGGCGGGCCCTCCTCCGCCACCCGGTACCGGAGAGCTGAGTCGGCACCCGGTAGCTGAGTCAGCAGCTGCAGCACTAAGACCACGAGGCTGAGAGCCTGCGCCGCGGAGGAGTGCACTGCACCAAGCCTCTGCATGGCTTCCTTCTCTCTCTCACGTCTCTCCTCCCAGCTCCGTCTGCCTCCCAGCCGTCTCTTCTTTATTGGTGTTTTGCGGTCTGGTGTACCTCACAGCGTGGGTGTTTGATTTATTCTTTCTTTCCTTCTCGCTATCGCTCTCTGCGGACTGCCGCCTGAGGTCCGGGGAAAAGCTTAGCTGCACTCACTGTAGTTCACTTCAGCGCTGCAGGCTGCTCTTCTTTTATTCTCCTCCTATACTCAGCGGTGGGTTGTTGTGCTTTTTTTTCTCCCCAACTTCTATGATAATAATTCTTCTGTCTTGCTGGCTTGTTTAAACCGTAAAGGTATTAAAAAATCCATCATGCTGCGTAAAAAAAAGAAGCCCTAATTCATCAACCTTTTGATTAATCCACTTCACTCTTCCTCACTCCTTTTTCTTCCCGTTAAACCGGAGAGCTATCCCGTTGTCACACGAGGACGTGTATCAGTTCATACAATGCCATTTGTAACTTCTTCTTCTTTTTTTATTCCAATCACATTTGGGATAGTGGCTTTTTGTCGCGTTTTTCACAGTTAGAAACTGCAATGCAGCACCACTACACAAAAGAAAGAAAGAAAGAAAAAAAACACACAGCTCAGCTCTCCGGACTCCGAGAAAAATTTACTCGCATCTCCCAAAGAAGAATAAAAAAATTAAAATCAAAGAAGTATTTGGGATGCTGCTACAGGATCTTTTTTTTCTCTTTCTTACCTTTTAGATCCAGCTGCGTTTCCCCCCTCAGTGTTTTTTGTTTTTTTTTTTTCCCGCAGTGGAGCAACGTGCCAAGCAGTCGGATTCCTTTACGCAAGTTATGAGGAGAAGAGTTTCTCGTATTCAAATTTTTTTCCTCATGAAATTGAGCTTCTCTTGGTGGGCTAAATGGGAGATCCCGGCATCAGTTTAGCATAATCCCGTGGAGCCCGTGTTCGGGATGGATGTCTCGTTGATGGACCGAGTGGAGATGCGTCTTTTTCCGAGAGTCCCGCATTCTCTCTCTCTCTCTCTCACTCCTCCACATGCGCCTCCTCCTCCTCCTCTGGCTTCTTCTTTTTTTTTTTTTCCCTCTCACCTGCACTGCTCGGGACTTGCTGCTGCTGCTGCTGCTGCTGCTGCCTCCGGTCTCCGGCGATGCTGCAGTCTCTCTCTCTCTCTCTCTCTCTCTCTCTCCCTCCCTCTCTTTCTCTCTCTCTCTCTCTCTCCTCTACTGCAACATTTTCCCCGGCCGCGTAACTCGATCCGCTGAGCTGTAACTGGAGAGGCAGCAGAGGCGGTGTTGGGTCGCTGTGTGTGTGTGTTTGTCGGTTACCGGGGACAGACCCCTCTCCTGTCATATAGGGAAGATTAAATGGGCTCGGTGTCCCGGGCTGCTGACAGCTCCTGCTGGGGGAAAATGTCTTTATTCACATATTCATACAGAGGACAAAGAGAGAGGAAAGAAAAGAGAGTGATCTGGCTCTCAGTCAGTCACATTTTTTTATTTATTTATTTTTTTTTGCTGGTGCAGCTTTTTTTTTTTTTTTTGCCAGTGTTGAAGGCTTCATTCATTCTTTTTCTGAGAGAGGCAGGGATTGTCATGCTCTCCTGCATAGTAGTAATTTATAGTAGTAGTAGGCTGCTGCACATATTGTCAAATAAGTAGCTTAGACTCAGAAAGTAGTGGATGTACTACTTTTTGTGGTTCAATGATCTACTTCAAGGCTTCTTTTTTTTTTTTTTTNAAAGTAGTGGATGTACTACTTTTTGTGGTTCAATGAGAAATTTTTAAATTCTGCTTTGAGCTATATTATTAGAACACAGGTCCGGCCCTTTTTTTTAAGGCTTCTTTTTTTTTTTTTTTTTTTTTTTGAATATTCAGACATTTCTTGTTTCTGTGTCAGCACTATCCTCCCCCCTGCAAAACACGCTGCTGTGAGGGATGTTGTCTCTCGGCGGACCAACCTGCTCGGTTGAGGAGCGCAATGCAGCATCGGTCTGCTGCTATTGAACACTGCCGGGGTTTCCACACTGTGCGCTCACTTAAAAACCGCCTCTGCAATTCTAATTTTCATGCTAGGCCGTCGTAGGAGCAGCCAACCAGCGCTTTTAGCCCCTGGAAGACGCAGGGAGTTCCCCTCCTCGCTTCTCTCCCCACCACCACCTCTCCCAACTCTAACATAATGTTATTGACGGAGAGCGCACTGTGCTCCGGCCATTAGTGAACACTTTATGGCTGGCAGAGAGTAAACAAAGACTGACAAACTGCAGAGAGAGGTCACATATTTTTTTTCTTTCCCACCATCATCCCTCCCTCCCTTCCTCTTTCTCTTCTCTGCATCTCAGCTGCACCAAGAGGAGAGTGTAAGTATTTATGGGCCGATGTGCTTAACATTTCAGAGGCATCGGCACGCGTCCGCTCCGAGCGCACTCACGCCCTCTATTGTTCGACCCACGTGCGCCTTTTTTTTTTTTTTCTTTTTTTCTCATTTCCCTCGAAATCAATCGTGGAAATCGCCCTCTGATTCGTGCGTGTATCAGCATGCTTGTGGAGTCTGCAGATGAGAGGACAGAAAGAACGAAAGTTGGAGAGAGAGAGAGAGAGAGAGAGAGAGCTAGAAAGATGTCTGTGCGCTCTTGTGCGTCGTTGTGCTCTCTGGGTCAAGTCCTTCCACTTTTACTTGGATTGATTTAAAAAATTTAAGTGAGATTTGACCTAATAATAATAGAAATCATCTAATAAAAATCTGCTGGCCCGAGCATGCTGTTATATCCAAGCCATTAAGATATAATTGAGCATGAATCCTCTTTCATCAGCAAATGAACTGCAGTTTCAATTTGCATATTGAATGAAAAGTGTGTTGTCCGTGTGCGCTGTGCTCATGTGTGTTCTAGTTAAAGACAGGATGTTCTTTGGAGGAACACAGCCTGTGTTGACATCCCGCCTAAAAGCCTAATCTACTGTTTGTGCCACCTCAAACTCAAAGCAGGCCACATGTCCCAGCGGTCTGCGAGGAGAGCTGCAGAGAAAAGAGAGGAGAATCTTGAGGAATGCTTTTGATACCATTTGGCAACAACAACTAATATTTCAAGTGGAGTGTCACGGATCATGTTTTCATGGTATCCTGCTGACAAACAGATAAATAGGCTGTTGTGGACTAAGCGAAAGACTGCAATTTATAATCCACTCTCTTAGATTTCAGTGTGTTATTTCAATATTGATGCCATCCAGAAATCTCTACGGAGCCTCAACGTAGCTTGTACCAAGTTCACTACATCTACCATTTCCATGACATTAGTTTTTCGCCTTCAGCATCTTCATTTTTTTTCTTTTTTACACAAACAGCAGCACGTAGTATGGCTAACTGTTTATCAGTCGCTGTTCCTTTATGTTTTAGTGGAGCCACAGGCATGAACTTCTGTCCGGGATTCGATGTGCTGTCTAGTAAGATGACACTAATTGCAGTGACACATTTGGTTGTTTAAGCAATGCTTTCAACCACAGTAATCCTATCCAAGGGAAAATCCACGGCAAAGGCCGGAGTGACTGCAAGCCTGCCACGGTGATCTCAGTGGTAATAAAGCCATTGAACAATATTGTGTTGACTCACCTGAATCATATCGCCCACCATCACCATCTGCTTGACACGACGCAGTCCGCCTCCCACGCAGAAACAGTAGCCACAGGCCCAAGAATATATGGATCGATTCTGCTTGGTAGCAAACTTTGGCTCAGCATTCACAGATCTGATCCATGAACTGCTTCGCGGCAAACTCCCCCGAGTCACTACGTCTGCCTCCACCTGTCACAAGATCAGCAGCTTTCTGATTGGTAGGACAGAGGAAATAAAGCTGCAGAATGTTCCATTAACCCGAAGATGTGCGTCGGTTCCACTGCTCTTCTCCAATTATACAAATGACTTCTTGTGTGTACCTCAACCCTTAGCAGTACGTATACTGGTAAGTTTAACAGCTTTTGCAACCTCAACAACGGGGAGCAAAAACATTCTCCGAACAGTGTTGACTCAAGAAGACGCCTTGAACTGTGATGGGTGTAACGACCTTTCAGTTCCTGTTAAACTCTGAATACTCCAGTTTACAAAAGGCCAGGTGGGGAATGGACTGCTTGAGCGAGAGGCGGAAATACAATCTGCAAAAGAAACTGCTGGTTTAGTTCTACACAGAATTACTGAGACTCCCCTAACCATTTCTGTCTGTGTGGTATGATTGTGAAACCAAAAGAGGACATGAAAAGCTACTTTTGCACACACACACACACAAATATATATATAGAAGGGGCCATCTGAGTCTTCCTGTAATATTGCTTCCAAAGAAGAAAGTAAAAGAGGTTATAGGAGCAGGATTTGAAAACTGGAATAAAGTCAGTGGTTGTGGTTAGGCTGAATTATAAGTGGGGAAACAATCAAGAAGGGATGGTAGATGTCTTGAGCTGTGGCTTCATACTTGGACTTTTCCCTTCTTGCCAGGTGTTTTTTGATGATGGAGTATCGCTACAATAGGAGATTTTTTTTGGTTTCATGCATGCTATTTTACAAGCAGTTAAACTAAAATCAGAGTAAACCTATTGGCTATAAGAACTTTATTGTGAAATAATTCACACACAGAACAGAACATCTCTTTCTACATGTGACTGCACCAATTTATAATCCTTCATAGTCTCAAAAGAGCACAAACAGAGAAGTACAAAGTAGGCAGGAAGCCCATGTCCTTCACGGTGTACAATATCCTTAACTGAGGACATTCAGGAGTTGGTGTACTTTTCTTTACAATGTGCTGAAGAGGCATCATCATGACTGGTAAAGCTAAATGGATCAGTAAGTGTCTTAAGAAGGCAAGCTCTGTTGTAGAACTGATTATCTGCAGGTGGGATGAATTAAGGACTGAATCAATCTTGCATGACCTTCTTCTCTTTATCACGGTGATAGACCCAATAAACAGGAACCTTCGGCACTGACATTCGACTCCAACTCCAAAACCTGCAACCACTCTGTCTTCCACCTGAGATTACTCTTTGCTATTATGTAAATTATTATTTATTATTATAATTATATTATATATTAGATTATAATTAATATATTATGTTATTATTATATATTTATTATATAATATATATTATATAATATATATATTATATTATAATTTACTATTACTATTACATAATAGTAAGGAACACAGAACACAAGTGCTTTAAATGGACAGCTACTATTACACGACACAGTCCACACTGCAACTATAAATCCTTTACATTCTCATGATATTTTATTATAAATAAATCAGTGCATATGTTGATGTGTTATCATAGTGGCAAAACACAATGTGCATGCATATACTGGGCTGTCAAAATAAAATAATCACTCCATTACATTGGTCTCAGGAATAACTTAATCACAACTTCAAACACTGCTTCGGAGGTGGGCTGTATTAGACAGAATGCCAATTAGTAGCCTTTGTCAGCTAGATGAGGCCTGGTAATCAACAGTTTGATGTCTTATCAAAGCAGCATGAAACAACTACTTTAACAGAGATCTAAAGAGGCCGACTCATTTGCACTCTAACTGTAGAGGATCGGTTAAAAAAAACCAAAAAAAAACTACGTAAATATTTTATATGTCCAGAGAAAGAGCATCCATAATTGTGACGGTATATAGCAACATGGAAAAAGTGCAGCGACAAAGAGTAACAACAGGCACAAGCTGAAACTGTGTAAGAGGGATATGAAAAATACAGATAATTGTCCTGCAACCTACAGGCCAACTTTGTCAAAATCATTTAAGCATCTACATGATTTTGTGTAATTACATCTATGTGAGCATGCTGGTATATGTGTATATTTGTCATTATAAGGACTTACAATAGAATAAGTGAGCATGAAATTAAGGCATATAGAACATGCTGCAAAAATAATAATAATGCCACTTACAACACAGTTCTGAGGGGTGAGTTTTGCCACTGTTTCTGTCGCAGACACTGTTTCCATGAGGAACCTGCAGAAATGTGGCGTCTTTGGGGGTTCTGCCCACACTCAACTTCCATTCTAT